TAGTTAGGTAACATTATAATGAACAAAACCTGAGGAGCTAAGAGAATTTTTCCATATTAAAAGGGGATGTGCATTATTCAAGCTTGAGAAACACTGGTCTATACTGCGCCGCTTGTATGTTTGGGCTTCAGCAGCACTTAACCTCTATCACCACCTATCTCACAGGATTTGTAAGAGGATTAAATGAGATGAGGTATGTGTGACTGCTTGGCCCACAGAAGGAATTACACCGATAGTTCTGTCTGCTTTACTGGAAACAAGGAAAATATGGAAGCTAAATATGGTCTAGGCTCTTTTACTCTAAGTGTGGTCTTGGAACCAAGAGTATTGATACTACCTAAGAGCTTGTTAGAAATGGAGAATTGGGGACTTCCCTGGAGGTCCAGTGGTTAAGACTCCACACTTCCAATGCAGGGGGCGTGGGTTCGATCCCTGGTCAGGGAACTAAGGTCCCACATGCCTTGTGGCATGGTCCCCCCCACAAAAAAAAAAAAAGAAAGAAAGAAAGAGAGTCCCAGGCTCCACCCCGACCTACTGTTATCAGAATCTGGTTTAACATATTCCCAGCTGATTTAATATATGCACATTAAAGTTTGAGAAGCACTAGTCTAGATCTCCATAGAGATAGATGGTCGACAATAAAATTCACTGCATTTTGAACTGCTCTGTAGGCTAATTTTGGTGATTAGAGAAATGCCGGGTGTAAATGGCCAAAAAAGACTGTCCTATCCTGGGGTTCAGTATAAACATTACCATTTTACTAACCGGTTTTTTTTTTTTTTTGTTTTCGGTGTGCGGGCCTCTCACTGTTGTGGCCTCTCCCGTTGCGGAGCACAGGCTCCGGACGCGCAGGCTCAGCGGCCATGGCTCACGGGCCCAGCTGCTCCGCGGCATATGGGATCTTCCCGGACCTGCACACGAACCCGTGTCCCCTGCATCGGACTCTCAACCACTGCGCCACCAGGGAAGCCCTCTAACCGGTTCTTAATGGTTGTATGTGTAATAGGGTGGGACTCTCTTTAAAAGGGATCTAACTTCTAATTCAGAAAGAACAAAGAATATTCTTAAGTGCAAAATATTCATAAAAACTTTCTGAATTTTGAATAAACAAGTTTTAAGATCACATCAATCAAAACTTTGTTAGGTCTCCTTTGCCCAATGGCAATTAAAATAATTTACATATGTTAAGCTCTTATTTAAATATTTTGGCCCACAACATCTGGTTTGCCAAAGTCTTGGCTCAGTTTATGATGATTGTGTGCTTATACTAAGAAAACACATTACCAAAAAAAAAGTATGACTGTGTATACAAAATGTATTAGTGTTAACTGTTCAACAAAAATAGTAGATCACATTCACCACTTATGATTTTGTCAGTGTAATTCACCTAGAGAATATCTCTGCTTTTCTTCTTGAACTCAGAGGCCCTAAACATTTAAGTCATGTTGTATTTACTTAAAAAGATTTAAAGATACTGTTCTTGGAAGCATAGAAAACAAAGTTAACAACTAATATCCAAGAGAGCCACTAATATTTAAAACGACCTTGATATCATCTGTTCAAGGGTGATTTTGGTAGAATCAAAGCTTGAACTAGGCTATTTATTGTTTTATGTTCTCTACTTATAGGCCATTTAAACCACATTCAAAGAATGTAAAGCAAAGCAGATTATTGTGTATAAACATAAATATGTATGTAAATATGTATACATATACGTATATATGGTTAGGCCTACTAGGCAATCCTTATAATCTCTGGGTTTATGTACGATTTAGATTACAGGTAGAACTCTCCTCTACCCTTCATGGTCTCAGGAAATAGCAAACCAAGAGTCCATCCCATAGCACGAAGTATTTTAGCGCCAGTACAGGTGAAACACTCTAATGCATGTTGATTATGGTGACCATAACTTAAGAGAACCACAATCTGAAACTCACTGGCTAACTCCAATTTTAGAGGTCTACATGCTCTCTTGCAGTCCTTTCGGTCCTTATTATAGTCAATCCCTGTTCCTAGAACCATACAATTCTTCTCTTTCCAGTACTTCAAATTCCAATCATTTCTGTTCATATATTAAGCAATTTAAACTCTATATACATACATACACAATGTACCAGGGGAAACACAAAGAGTGATTTTTAGCTCCTAACTACACTTTCTTGCTTTCCTATGAACTGCTGCAAAGAAATGGTTAAACCATTACCTACAGTTTGAATTTATTAAACAACATCTAGGCAAACAGAAGACAGGCAGAAACAGGCAAGCCACGTTTTTCTAATACAGTGATTACACTCATCTCTCTCTAGAAATGGGAGATATGTTAATCATTTTAAATTTCAGATATTTGATCAAAAATCGACATCCATTTATGCTACCAAAAATACTTTAAAAATCCTCTGTTAATTAGTCTCAAACTACTGCAGATGGATTACTTTGCAAAAAGTAAATATAATAGAGCACCAGCCGATGAAATAAGATATATATTAAAGAAAATCTTTAAAATATCAACCACTTGGTCTCTAAGGCTTAAGAGTCTAATAAATAGAGTTTTTTTCAAGAGGTCATTTTTGCTATCAAGAAATAATGAAATAAATATAGATTAAGAATTAAAATATATGCTGAAGCAAGAAACATACTTGTTTTATAATTCATATTATGTCTTGCAAGAACTAATTAATGAATTAAATTAATATTTTGTAAGTAGTTTCTTCCTCAATTCAACTAGCATTTGGCATGATCAAAGTTTAACTAAATTAAAGACTTGAGGGTGCTTTGAATTAACATCAGATGCTAGTGGTCATCTCCACCCCTTTATCCTCCCTCTAATGTGTCCTTGAAGGTGGCATGTGTTACCCAGGCTATCCAACCTTCTGACAAAGGCAGATATATATTGAACATTACTTTATCATTTCAATATCAAGGTCACTATGTTCCCCTCCTAGGATTTAGTACGTTGAAAGACCCTCATTACATAACACTTCAGACAGCTATAAAAGCATGAACTTGGTCCCATACCAAATTCAGTTTCACTGAGCAGAGCAACCTTATCTTTAGTCACCATTAAATTATAAAATGCAGTTGATATGTACATAGTCCCCCATACTACCTTTACACCCTAAGACAGCAATTGAACATTCTTGCTTGTGTTACTGATCATTAATATACTGCTGTGAATATACCAAGGGGACATCCTTTCAAAATTATTGCCTATAAGAAATTGTAAAATTTGCTCCGTTTCAAATAGTAAAGTAGCTTGCACCCCCTATTATCTATAGAGGAAATGATTCAGGCCAGATGCCAACGCGAGGTAGCCAAGTCCAGCTTTAACAGAGAAAAGATGGCATATTTCTACAACTGCTCCTAGTGAAATGACACCTCATATATGATCTAACAATGGACTGGAGAAGATGAAGCTCATTTTTCAGATTTCTAAAGGTCAAGGCTCAAGGGATGAAAGGAGTACTGCTTGAGATGAAGCTTAATACCAGACATTTGACTCGCTGTCTAGACCTGATGACCTAGGGAACATAACAGGAAGTCCTTAACAAGTAAGTGTATGTAAGGAACAAGTGGTTCTGATTTCTGGCACAAAGCAAATGTGTCCATTACATGCAAAAGATAAGACTGCTTATCTGAGAAATGTAAAGCCCCTTCTTGTTTATATGGGAAGATAGAGGATGGGGTTAACACAACTATGGGGGGGTTCTCTGGCATAAATGAAGAAATATGTTTCTTTTATTTCCACTGAAGAATTAATCTGGACATAGGGGAGTGGGACCCTTGGAAGCACCAATCCTGAGCACATTAGAACAGAAGAGTTCTACTTTTTCTTCTCCGAACTGCCAGTGTACATGACGGGGTGAGGGAGATGGGGAGTGAATGTAGGAATCAAAAGGAATATGAAGAAACCCTGATGGAAATGATAATGGTTTGACCTTAATTCAAAAGTAATGTTTTCAGGCTCCAGACATGCAGGCTCAGTGGCCATGGCTCACAGGCCCAGCCACTCCACGGCATGTGGGATCTTCCCGGACCAGGGCACGAACCCGTGTCCCCTGCATCGGCAGGGACTCTCAACCACTGCGCCACCAGGGAAGCCCAAGAAGTAATGTTTAAAATGGCTAACATATGTCTCTTGTTAAAGTGTAGCACTGGAAGAGGAGTAGGACAGAAGGCATTCTGGACAAAGTAGGAAGGAGGTCCTCAGGGTTGGCATTTTGCACTAACAGCTGTTGTCCCAAGAAAAGGGAAATCACTCAAAAGGTGCCAAAGACAAGAGGAGTGCCTTGTTGCACTCTCTCAAGGATATCTGTTATCATTTAAAAACTAACTAAAGACACCCCACCACACAAACTCTCCTAGCATTTTTCATCCAAAGACGTCAAAAGCCCTTTCTAAATGTTATCCTCATGATACCTCTGTGAGGTAGGTAGCATAATTCTAACTTTTATTCAAGCTAAGGCACAAATAGAGCCTGAGTTGCAAGAGTGGTCTGGAATTTTGTTCACTGCAACACACTTCCTTCATTTTGATGTAGGCAACTCAAGACACACTGCTAGGAAATGTCCTTAGAGAAAGTAGACCTAAGAGCCAAACAAAAGCATTCATGACTCTGGGAAAGCGGCACTCTAACACTCACTGATGGTGTCTTAGGAGACGCCCTCCACTGAAGAGTACTAATATGTGCAGTCCTGTTGAACATGGAGACCAAACCATCTATGATGATAGGAAAAAGGCTGAAGAAACAGTCTTCTTGTTTTCCCCCACTGTTGAGACCAGAACAGTGACAATCTTAAAACATACCATCTAAGGGACTTTAGTCCTTAAGTCTCGGTCTTCACTGGTGCGGTAAAATCCTAAGACCTATATTTTGCTGATGATTTTGATGTTTTTGATCAGATACATTTCTACATCCTTGATCCCAGACAATTCTCTTTTAGCATAACTGAGTTATCTGTATAAAACGTAATGCCAGGGTCTGAAGCAAACAATACATCCAGTCAGCATACATTGGTTCTATATATTTTGAGAAACACTTGAGTACACAAAGAAAGCGTGCAATGTTAAAGAGATGATTTGAACAATATTGTGGCTTGTCTAATGGAGAATCCAGCGTCCTTTCAGGAAACTGAAGATACTCAAAAGTTGCTCCCCAATTTCTATTAACAACCCTCGAAAAGTGAACATTTTCATTTGATACAAATATACAAATTTAAAATAAGTGCACAGTTCAGAATGGCCTACCATTTTCAGATTGCTTATGTGTCAGAAAATACACAGTCGATAAAAAAATACCAGAGAGTGGGGACAAAAGGCTCTCTGGAGCTGTACAGCAAAAATGAATATCACTTCAGTAGGTAGTGATCTCTGGAGAAAGTGGTGTCCTTAGAAACCAGTAGCACTGAAAGATAGCAGGTCACAAATCTGGTGATGGGGGATAAGACGTATAATAAGGCCCATTTTCCTGCAGAAAGAAAAAAAGACAAGAACATTAAATAATAAGATCAATGTAATTGGGAATGTAAAAGAAAGGGATTTAAAGCCAATGATCTAACGTATGGAAAATGTCTAGCACATGCCTGGCCCTGAGCAGGTCCTCAAGCCAACAGAGCCATTCCACTGGAGTCAGTCAGAGTTGGTATAATGTAGGCAGAGGTAATCAGGATGATGAGATTTAAAAATATTACCATTTATTGAACATTCTATATGCCAGACACTTAACCAGCACTTTTCTTTCATTATCCTTTTATAACCTCACAATATAATGCCATAAAGTAGGTAACATCCTCATTTTACAGAACAGGAAACTAAGGATCACACAGATGTCATCACTCACCTTAGGTCACCAAGCCGGCAACCAGGAGAGCCTGAATTTTAAATCCATGTCTATCCAAATCTAAAGCCCAGATTCTTTTTTTTTTTTCTTAAACATCTTTATTGGAGTATAATTGCTTTACAATGGTGTGTTAGTTTCTGCTTTATAACAAAGTGAATTTTTTGTTAGGCTGTGTTGTCTTGCTGTGTGCCGAATCTTTGAGTTATGAAACAAAAATCATCATCAAGGAATTCAATAATTACAACTCTGTTGGCAGAAATGAGTCTCTCCATGACATGCCTGAGTGGCGAGGCTTTTAACAATGACAGTTTTTAGGGCGTTCAAGATCAAGGTGGAGAATTGAATGCTAGAACTTTAATGTCAAATGTAGAAAGCAATAAATCAGTGTAAGGAAATTTTTTGACCTTATTTTGGCTAACTTTATCTTATAAAAATCAAGACAGTTAGCTTTATGGTAGATAGACCCAAAATTACATTTATGAGACTTAAGATTCATTTCTTGTTATTTAGGAAAGTATTTCTTTGACAAGTAACTTATTTTCCAGTAAACCATAAACAAAAAATGCTTAACATTAATGTAAGATAATAGTTAGATATGGAGAATGAAAGGTAGGAAGAAAACAGCATTGCTTTATGGCATATTTACATTATAGTTATGGAGCATTAAATCCATCCAGTCTTGAACATAATAGGCAGTTAAATGTTATTTGAGTGACTAAGTGAATGAAAAGCTCTGCCATTCTTCAGAGCAGATGCTCTGGAGGAGAAACTGATCCTGGGACCATAACCAGGAAAACAAGAGAATATCTAGGAAAACTTACTTTCTTCTTTTTTTCTTTTCTTTCTTTCTTTTTTTTTTTTTTTTAACTTTCTGATTATACATCTGACCAGGTTAAAAAAAAATTCAGTAGAAACAAATCTAAAGATTGGCTACATTTTAGGATACTTCACTAAAATTAATGAAAAATTTTTTTTGTATTTTAGAATTTCCTACCAGGATCTGTTAAACCAATCACTCCAGTATCCTCAAAAGGCATAGAAGCTATGCTTAAGAAACATGCCTGAAGAGAGAAATCTATCCTGAAGTTCAACTGAAAAGAAATGGTTCACGATCCATCTTTAAGATTTCTCCATTCCATTCCACTACGGTATTTTTCTAGGCTTCCTGTATCTACATTAAATTGTGATAAAGTAAGAAGGGAAAATCTAATTCTTAATGCTATGAAATAAAGCTTTTATATTAGTCTCACACTGTGGAAGAGACTGCCGAGCAATCGAATACTTTCTCTATTTCTGGAAACAATCACAGAATTTTGAAGAATTGTTACCAGGTAAATCTCTACACTCTCTTCTTTGACTATAAGAGTGCTGACTAGCTCCCTTTCTGAAATGGTCTCAGTACCATTTTGATCCAGATAGACAAAAATTACCTTCTAATTACCGCCAAAGGTTCCTTTTAATCCTATAAAATTTATGTCACTAAGTCACAAACGACCCAGAAAAATAGAAGCTCACTGCCAACAACCAACCACGTCATACCTTCACCAAGTAAAGGACTATGGGCAAAGCACACTTGAATACGATAATAAAACTGACCGACTCCACACTTGTTTCCTTTTCTCTAATCATATTTTTAATTCTTTCTAGCAAAGGAAAACTTTTCTTTACAAGGTACTATCCAACCACCTTCTAGCCTTTCACCTCAGTGTCCCGTGGGGCACCTCAAACCTAGTGTGTCACAAACTGAAAAGACCACCTGTCTGTTTTCTCCAAGCCCCCCCCCCCCCCCCCCCAGTGCTCTTCCTCCAAATTGCCTCTCTGGGATGGTGGCGACACCATTCTCCAAGTCTCCCAAAGCAGAAACTTTGTTAGTCACCTCAGGCTTCTTTCCTCCTTCATTCCTCCCAGTGGCTGGCTGCTCAGTCACCATAATGCTGTGGATTCTATTCCCTAAAGCGTCTACTTCTAACTATCTCTAAGCTCTTCAAACCCCTGCCATTACCACTACCACTGCCTGGCTCTAGTCTCATTTCTCCTCTGGCTTCCTCTGACAGCCTCTTATTTGTCTCCTTGCCTCCAGTTTTACCCTTGTCTGGTCCCTCTCTACACTGCGTTTTTAGCCATCTCTCTAAACAGGAACACAATGGCAGTTCTCCCTTGCTCAACACTCCCCACCAACTACGAAGGAGCCAAAGTACCGCAGCATAATGTGCAAAGCTGCAGTGTATTTAGGGATCTGCCCTCTGCCTGCCCTTTCCACATCATCTCCTGACACCTTCTTCTGTTTCTTTCCTCTTTTTATTCCTCTCTTTGGCCTTTATATATAGATGGCCTGATATCTCAGTTTCAGAAAGCTCTAATACAGGTACAGAAAGATGATCCAGTGACCTAAGTGTTAGATTGTAGGTTATTTTATTTCATTTTGATTAATCACATTATTAATTAGGCCTGTATTTAATATATAAAATATTAAAAAAAAACACTAAAAACACACACACACAGAACAAAAAAACAAAACCAAGCTTGAGTGCGGTGTTGATATTTAATGAAAGCCTGCTTTGTAGGCCCTTAAGTATACAGAAAACGTGCTGGCTTAAAAACTGCTCTTTTGGGGCTTCCCTGGTGGCGCAGTGGTTGAGAGTCTGCCTGCCGATGCAGGGGACACGGGTTTGTGCCCCGGTCCGGGAGGATCCCACATGCCGCGGAGCGGCTGGTCCCGTGAGCCATGGCCGCTGAGCCTGCGCGTCCGGAGCCTGTGCTCCGCAATGGGAGGGGTCACAACAGTGAGAGGCCCGCGTACCGCAAAAAAAAAAACCAAAAAAACAAAACAAAAAACCCCTGCTCTTTTGGGTTTTCTAACCAATACATCCTAACTTACATATTTCTACACCAGAAAATAAATGGTAAATCTGGATATTAGCTTTGAATCATCATTCCAAATTTTCGTATCAAAATGTCTTTCAGTGCCTTTCACATTTCCAGCTATCCATTTTTCTTTAAATATTAAGAAGAGTGATATATAGTTCAAAAAAATAATAAGGCAATTTTCTGCTTTAGCAATCTGCAAGAAATAAAACCGGACGCTCTTTTTTCTGCCTCCCATACCTTCAACAATCTTTGTATTTATGATCCAGCGACTCCAATTACAAATCTTCTTTGTGCAAAAGCAAAACATGACATTTTGTTAGCCATTAGAACACATTAAATACTTTGCTCTTCACATAAAGTGTAACAGAAATCATAACTGAAGTCGTAGAAACGTTAGAGAGAAAATGTCTTGTAGGATACTTACTTTACTGTACATATGTTGTACAATAAAGGAAGAATAATTCATTTTAAGCTTAATATAACCTGCAAATATATTCTCTGATTCATGCATAAAAATATGCAATAATGCAGCAATAATTAAATAAGGCAATTGATAACGTTTTGGCCAAGCGTGTTACTTCTCTGTTTTTAACTACTAAAGTGATAGCGTGAATAAGTACAATGGAATAGAGCTTTGATGAAATTCTAGAGTAGTCCTTTCTTAGTGTTTAATAGATTCATAAATGTATCTGTAAGGAATAATGTATTGGTTGTCACTTATACAAACTTTTAGCAAAATGAAACTTCTCATAGGGTAAAGACTAGGATAGGCGACCTGGCTTACAATTAACGCTGAAAATGTCGGACACCAACAGATTCTTCTGGCTCTATTTATGTAGATGAAAAGCCATTCAGTCTTAACAAAATTAGGGAGGGGTGTGTCTCAAAGGTGGTGGAAAACTGACAGTACAAGCAAGGATTGGCTATAAACCTACAGCAGAAATATTTCCCATTGAAAAGTTTACTGGGGGAAAGGCGCCCCCCTTAGAATCAAGCATTTTCCTAAAGTTACCATAGGAAAAGAATGTCAAACGATACTATCAATTAAAACACATTAATTGCATTATCATCTTACAATGAAAAGATGATGTGCTCAGACGCACTTGCACTATAAAATAGTTAAGATAATACACCAGGTAAGGGAGAATTCCTGGTACTTCTTACCCTGGCATCATATTCAAGGACAAAAGGAGGAAAGTCGATCTGTTCTGGCGAGATGGCAGAAAACAGCTGGTGGAGGCTGTCCACATGGTGGATTTTGTCCTTCAGTCCTGAGACAGAAAAGGTGGTAAAAAACCATGTTGATACCTGATTAATAGAAGAAAAAAAATAATTTAAGCTGGTGGCCTGAGTTGGAAATATACACGATTTTGAAAATTTATGCTAGATAAAAACTATTTCAAAATTGAAATTGATATCAAAGAAATCTTGTAATAAGCAGTGTTTTTCAAGGTGCAGGTTGTAGTGCATCAGTGGATTATGCAATCAGTTTAGTGGATTGTGAACAGTATTAAAAACAACAAAAAGAAACATGCTAGAGCAACAATGACTAGGGAATGTAGCAAGATGAGCTTTGTCTCATGAAGCTTCAGTTTCTGTTACATGTCTATGTGCTCCAGTGCATGTCATGCGTTGGGATGTAACATAATATGCTTCTTACTGTGGGCTGTGGTCAAAACCACTGCATTATCTGATGGAAGAACTGATTCACTGGTACTCTGAAAATGGTTAACATCTCCAAATCTCATAAACTCTTTTCATTACTTCAAATGAGACTGAAAATTTTTGTCAAGTTTTAAGACATCTATTTTTCTGTTGACACTTGGCATGCAGTCTCTTTCTCAGTCAAAGTGAATCTTCTGTAGACGTGGAGCCACCTTTGCTCATTTCACTCCATGACACTGCAATCTTTCTATAAAACCTAGTCTGCAAAATTTGTTGGTTCCAAAAAAAGAGAGAATTCTTGATAGCAAACTATACTGGCAAACTATACTGGCATTCTAGCTAAACAATAGCTAGAATTTACAAATTCTTGTTCATCTATCCAAACTGGCAATCATAATTAGTCATGTTTACCAACGGCTTATACAACAGTTCTATGAGGTAGGTACAATGTTACTGCTATCCTCATTTTATTTACAGAAGAAGGTAACATATGCATATGAATTCTCAGTGCACTGGCATAATACATTCCAGTATATAACTGGGTACATTACAAATACAGTACATGCCACTTTGGGCACTTGCCAATCGTTTTTTAAATTTCTCTTTGACACCCTGTCATGTTTTCCAGTGGTTGCTCCAAACCTTTCACATATTCCTGGTCCCTAATACAACATACTGTCTTCATACCTACTTATGAGAAAAGGCATGGAATAACAGAGACAACACTACACTTATCTCTATCAGAATCTTATCCAAACTTCCAAGACTCGGTAGAGACTCATCTCTACCATTATTTCTCCCTTACAGCTCCAAACAGATTATCCCCTCTACTGAATTCACATAACCTTATGTTTAACTCTCATTTATAGCACTTATCTTACTTCATAGGAATATAAGTAGTTTCTTATATTCACTTCTATAATTTCCCTAGTACTTGGCAGACAATCATAGAATGGTCTAAAGTTTTAGAAGGTACAGACAGACCATGCATTCTCAAGTATTTGAAAAAGAACGAATGAATGAAGATAAGGCCTATTTCATACTGAGTTTCATGGCCGGGCTCACTAATCTATTTCGGCTATACTACCAATGACTGTTATAAGGCCTCAGATATTAACATTACCCTCTGTATCCTCTCATCTTACCAAGCTTATTTGGAGTGTGGTGAAGGGGGCGGGAGGCTCTCGGCCTTTCTAGAACCAAGTGAGTTAATTTAAATCAGATTAGATTGTCACTTAATTACACTCCAATCCCCAGTTTTTCACATCAGTTTTTTTTGTTTTGTTTTCAAAGCACATGCTGTTATATACCTAATTGATACAAACTTCTGCAAACTAGATTAGGGGCTCTACAACCAGTTAGCTGATAAACTAGTAAGAGCTACGGAGAGACCATGGAGATTTTAGAGATTCTAGGAAGAGGTTAAGAAAATAAAGATTGTAGAGTCAGAACGGAGAAGAACCTTGCGGATGTGTCAGGAGATACACTGTGCAAGAAGTTACACATCGACTGGGAATCTACTATGTGCTAAGCATTGGGCACAGCTGTAGGTGATACAGGGTAACAGCGACCTGGCCATTCCTCTAATGGGGGCTTAGACTCTAGAAAAGGAGCCAGCTTATAAGCATAGTAACAACTTCCTAAGGCAAAAAGTACTAAATGCAATGAATGGCCCAAAGAAACACATGAATACCTATCACAGGCAAGGAGCTGTGCTACGTGGAAAAAGGTATAAAATTACGGAACTAGAAGGGACTACACAGGGTATTTGTGTTCCACTGTCTCTTACCTCAGTACCTTTTTACATGCTGCTTGTTTAGTCCTGAAACCCTTTTCCTCAATTCTTTGCCTGGCTAAGAACTGTCCTTCAGAGTTCAGGTCAGAACTCACCTCTGTGAGGAAGCTTTCACTGAGTACCTACACTCCAGCCAAAGCTGGAGAAGCAGCTTCCCCCTAAGTGTTCCAACAACACCGTGTTTACTCATATTACTACATAACTGACACTCTGTGTGGTAGTAGCTGATTCTCTCAATAGACTAAATTCCCCTGTGTGGGGATTCTCTTCTTCAATACCATATTTATAGGGATTTATAGGGTCTAACTAATGCTCAACATGAAAAGTAAGCAATTCAATATGTTGAGAGAATTAACAAATGCTTTCTGGACTTACTACTTTAGTACTATTTAGGGATGGCCGAATATTCCTTCATTCTACAAAAACAAGTTGTACTTCAATCTGGGCCTCAGTCTCTTCATCTACAAAACAAGCAAGTTGGACTTCAATGATTTTTAAAGTCCCTCTTAGTTATACAGTTCTATGAAAGGACTCTTGACTATGCTGCATGTACTGACACGGTGAGCTGGTGGTGGTAAATTCAAAGAGAAGGCTGGGTTGGGGAAGAATGGGCAGTGATCTTAGGCACACACTCTTTGAAAGACAAACACATTTCTCTGTTGCATTTTCTCCCATTACCTCCTTTACATTCTTTAGGCATTAGCAAGAGAAAATTACTCAAAGTAGACAGAAGTGGAAACCCAGTTACAAGTTTTCCATTCAGGGAGACCCAAGAGCATTGTCTTCAGTTTTTTTCATTTTATTTTTATGTAGCTCAGCTTTTAATTTTCAATTATTTACAACGTAAGTCACAGATATACATTTATTTAGGTAAAACTTGCTTTACTCAGTATCTACTATTTTAAAAAACTGAATTAAAAATTTGAAAAAAAGGCTGCTATGATATGCTGTGAATGCTAGAAACTCTTTCATCCAATTATTCACAAATGCACAGCCAAGAACATGGGATCACAAGACAACATAAACTAGGAAAAGATTGTTCACACATGTATGCACTTAAGTCATCTACTACAGCCAGAATCAACAGTGGGTTTAAATACTATTAGTTCACGTTCTATTAGTGAACTTCAAGAAAGAAAAAGAGTAGTGATTTATATGAGCAGTCAACTTACCATGGTGGGTGGAATGCCCTGGAAAAGATCTGAGAAGTATGGAAATCAGGACAGCGATTCTATTGTTTTATTATCCCTTGATTTCATCTCATTATTTTATAATTACAACCACTCCATTTACAGTTTTCGATTTAGTATAAAATAATGGTGGATTTCATTACACATGGGTTTTATTTTCTCAATCCTTCATCATTTTCTCCGTCCCAAAATATTATGAAAGGTAACATAATGGCTTTCACTTCATACATCTGCTCTTCAGTCTCTGCCTACCCGCCATTTGCACTGACTTCTACCTGAAGCAATTCCAATGGTGGGACAACCAACGCTAGTGGCTCTAACACTGAAATTTCTGGTAATGTCTATCCATTGGTGTCCCAATAGGGGAAAGATAGCTATCCACTGACTCTCTTGTGTGGGGAAGGAGGGGTTAAAGTCAGATCTTAGCAAACAGTGGCTATGTATTCTCGTAAGTCTGGTACAGAGGAACGCTCTTTGGATAAGTCTGAATTTGTGACAAAAGTTAAAAAAGGTTTTTTTCCATTAAAAAAATTATGAAGATTCATAATTTGGATGAAAATTCCAACATTCACTAAAGTTGAAAGAATTTTACAGGGAACACTGGTACAGAAATCATTCAGACGATCATTAACATTTTCCTTAAGTTTTCTTCATCACACATCTATCTGTTCCTCTATGCATCTATTAACCCATCTTACTTTTTTGCTGCACCTCAAAGTAAACTGCAGACATCGGTAAACGTTCCTCAAATACAACATTCATATCTTTAACTAGAGTTCAGTGTTTGTTCAGTTTGCTATAAAATTTACATTCGATGAAATACACAGATTTTAAGTGTACTTTTGCTGGGTAGACAGATGTACACACTTGTATTAGCAAAACTCCTATTGAGATACAAAACATTTTCATCACCCCAGAAAGTTCCCTCACGCCCCTCTTCCCAGAAGCAAACACTGTTTCGATTTTTTTTCTACCATGCATTAGTTTTGCCTGCTCTAGAATCTCATATAAGTGGAATTATACAGTATGACTCTTTTATGTAAGGCTTCCTTCACTCAGCATTAACGTTTTTAAGATTCCTTCATGCTGTTGTGTATATCAGTAGTATCGATGTTCTCTTTTATTGCCAAGAAATATTCCATTACAAGTATACAGCAGAGTTTAATTATTCATAATCCTATTGATGGACACCTTGGCTGGCAGTCACTGGCTGCTATGATTAATGCTGCAGTGAACATTCCTGTAGAAGTCTTTCTATGCACATATATTTCATTTCACTTGGGTAAATACCTAGTATTGGAATTGCTCGGTCACAGACATATTGAGTTTATAAGAAACTGTCATAACTTTTTTCAAAGTGGTCGCAGAAATTCACATTCTGACTTATACTGTAGGAGAATTCCAGTTACTCCACATCACTGGTAATATCTGGTATTGTCAGTTTTTTAAACTTTAGCCATTCTGGTGGCAGTGCAGTGACATCTCATGCAGTTTAAAAAAAAAGTTTTATTAAGATATACCCAACTTACAATAAACTGCACATATTTAAAGGATAAAATTTGTTAAGTTGTGACATTACGTATACACCCATGATACCGTCATCACAATCAAGAAGATGAACACTGGGAGCTCCCCGGTGGCCCAGTGGTTCAGATTCC